TTCAGCCTGGGGGTTCCCAGGTCGGTGACGGTGATGGTGATGTTGTATTCGGCCTGGCTCTCTCTGTCTAGGGGTGTCTCTGTTACCAAGGTGTAGAAATTCTCTACTGATGGCTTCAGGACGAAGGGGAGATGGTCTTGGATTGAGCACACCATCTTTGCATTGTTCCCTGAATCTCTGTCTCTAATCCTAAAAACAGCGACTACTGTCTCTGGTGAGTTTTCTGCAATTGGGCTAGTAAGTGATGACATGAGCAGTTCTGGTGGATTATCGTTTATATCTGTTACATGGACCACCACAGTACATTTTCCAGAAAGCCCTCCACCATCTTTGGCCTGAATAGTTAATGTATAAGTTTGTATTGCCTCGTAGTTCAATTCGGCTTTAAGATGAAGATTGCCAGATGTTGAATTGATTCGAAACGTTTTGAGAATTCTTTCAGTGGCGTAAAAAAATGCATAGACGATTTCTCCATTACTTCCGGTATCTAAATCTCTAGCTGACACAGTGACAACCAGGGAACCAACAGGGCTGTTCTCAGGCACCTGGACTTTGTAAAGCGACTCTACGAATTCAGGGACGTTGTCATTTATGTCCAAAACCAGGATGTGTATGACGGTGGTTCCGGATCTGGGCGGAGAGCCGCCATCCAAGGCGGTGAGGGTTAAACGCAGCTCAGGAACCTCTTCACGATCCAGCACTTTATCCAGTACCAATTCGGAATAAACATTCCCTTCCCCATTATCATGGACATTAATATGGAAATAAACATTGGAGCTGACAGTGTAGTTTCTCAGGTTGTTGATTCCAACATCTGAATCCTGTGCACTTTCTAGGAGAAATGTTGCCCCTGGAGTGGTACTTTCTAATATGTTCAAGGTAATCTCTCTATCTAGAAATACTGGAGAATGATCGTTGATGTCTCTGACCCATAGTTCAGCATGGAAAATCTGAAAAGGCTTTTCAAGTAACAACTGGAAAGGCAACACACATGGCTCTGTGGGGCCACACAGTTCCTCTCGGTCTAATTTCTCATTTAGAAGTAAATCACCAGTAAGCGGATTGAGGAGTAAAAATCCTGTGGTCTTATCTGAAACAATTCTACATCCCCGCGCTGACAGTTCCCCCGTCCCTAACCCCAGATCAATTGCTAGGTTGGCCAGAAAGGTCCCTCTCTCCGTTTCCTCTGCCACAAAATACCGAAGTGTTTCTGCACCAGCCCAAGACACTCCCAGAAATACACAAAGAAGTAACACTTGCCTGTTCTGCAATGCGTGCACCACTCTGGCCTCCATTCTTTGTTTAAGCAATCTTTCAAAACCACGTTCACTCCGCCTCAAGCAGCTCTCAGAAATGGCAGAAATCGAATCCTTAGAAATGAGCTGGATAATAGCAATGGTCGTGGGGAGGAGTCCCACTTTTCCCCAACCCCATCACCAGCGTCTCCTTTCCTCTACTTTTCTTGTCTGGCCAGCTTTTCCTCTGAACATTGTAATTTGTAACGTCCTTTGTGCGGGTATTTCCCCCTCTTTTTAGCCAGCAGCGCCACCTTGCGTTTTGTGGATGTTATTCACGTTTTCAAGAAAAGAACAAAAAGATGGCCGGTTAAAGGAACTGCAACATGAGTGATTTTTTTTTCTTACCCCCAAGGGTCTTTGCGGTTTTATTACATCTTTTCCCTCAAACGGTCAAGGTAACGTTAGTAGTTTACATTGGTTTTCCCTCTGAATATTTCATAGCTGCATATTATACAAAGATCCTCTCCATTTTAAGGGATACCCAGGGCTACACCCACCTACCCACCCCCCCACACACACATACACACATATATAAATGTTTATACAGTATATATTAAGAAATATAAAGATGCTCTCTCTCCCCAACTCCAGGAAAATATATAGAAGCCCCCATGATGTCAAGTAGAGCAAAAGAAAAAGAAAAGATGTCTGGGAAACTGTAGCTACAGGTTGGTCCTCATGTGTGTTTATATTTTCGATATGCATATGTTGAGTTGTGAGAAACATCAACCCATAAACTTGGTTTGCAGTGGTTCCCTACTGATAGCAATTCAAGGGTCCTAGCTGAAACCAACGAAAATACATTATGAAGAATGAAATAAGCAACCTAGGCTTTGAGGACATCCTACAAATAAAAGTTCAGGGGCAGTCAACCATATGAGTCACACAAAGAAACAAAGATAACATGCACGAGAATAATACAGCAGAAACAGACCCACACAAACTTCAGCTTTTAAAACTTCAGATTTAAAAACCAATTATGTTTACCATACATAAGTAAATAAATGACATGCTTGAACACTTGCATAAACAGACTGGAAAGGTACACTGACTTTAAAACATAAAAGGTCTAGGGGCTCAGTCCAGTAAGTGTCTGCCTACAGCTTGGGTCATGATCTTGGGATCTTGGGATGGAGCACCCTGTAGGGCTCCCTGCTCAGTGAGGAGCCTGCTTCTCCTTCCCTCTTCCTCTGCCGCTCCCGCTGTTTGTGCTCTCTCTCTCAAATTAATAAAATATTTACAAAAATAAAAGCTCTAAACAATTATGAGGATTATCCTTTAAAATACACTGTAAATACTATAAACATTGATAAAGTATTATATATAACAAAAAGCATAAAGTAAGGTGAAGAGAGGATGGAGGATGTCTAAGAATGTTTCTTTGCTCATTTTTTAAAAAAGATTTTTATTTATTTGACAGAGAGAGAGAGATCACAAGTAGGCAGAGAGTGGGGGAAGCAGGCTCCCCAGTGAGCAGAGAGCCTGATGCGATGCGGGACTCAATTCCAGAGCTCGATCCCAGGACCCTGAGATCATGACTGGAGCTGAAGGCAGAGGATTAATCCACTGAGCCACCCGGGGCCCCTCTGCTCATTTTTAAGCAAGCAGTTAACTGATGCTAATATCTTAATATGCATCATATTCTTGTTTTTTTTTTTTTTACCTTATAGGAATTATTTCTCTAAGCTTAAGCAAGATCTATAGTTTCATATAATTTTGCTTTAACTACATTCAAGTAAAACATGACAGTTTTAACTATGAATCTACCAATTTATTACAGATCCATTTTATGAAATTATTTTCACTTATTAACTTATTCTTGTATGCATTCACAGAAATATTTTAAGGATATTGACTTAATAATTATTTGAGTGCTGAAATAATGATGTTAATTTCCCATGTTTTCCAGTATGGAGTTTCCTCAAAAAGTTAAAAATAGAACTACCCTCGGGTCCAGCACTGCACTAGTGCCATTTACCCAAAACATACAAAAATATAGTTTTGAAGAGGTACATGCCCGCAATGTTTGTAGCATCAATAGGCAAACTATGGAATGAGCCCAAATGTGCATCAACTGATGAATGGATAAAGAAGATGTAGGCTATATTTAGAGTGGACTATTACTCAGTCATCAAAAAGAATGAATTCTTGCCATTTGCAACGATGCGGATGGAGCTAGAGTGTATTATTCTAAGTGAAACAAGTCAGAGAAAGACAAATACCATATGATTTCTCTCATATATGGAATTTAAGAAACAAAAGAGATGAACATATGAGAGGGGGAAAAGAGAGGTAAACAAACCATAAAAGTCTCTTCATGATAGAGGCAAAACTGAGGGCTGATGGAGGGAGGTGGGTGAGGGATAGGCTAAATGGGAGATGGGCATTAAGGATGGCACTTGTTATGATGAGCACTGGGTGTTATATGTAAGTGATGAATCACTAAATTCTTCAAAAAACAATATTATATTGTATATTAACTAACTAGACTTAATTTTTTAAAGATTGTATTTATTTATTTGACACAGAGAGAGAGAGAGATCACATGTAGGCAGAGCAGCAGGCAGAGATAGAGGAGGAAGCAGGCTTCCCACTGAGCAGAGAGCCTAATGTGGGGTCTGAGATCATGACCTGAACTGAAGGCAGAGGCTTAACCCACTGAGCCACCCAGGCTCCCCACCTAACTAGACTTTAAATAAAAATTTGAAAAAGAAAAAAAAAAACTTTGTTTTCTGTTCACATTGAATGTGTTTGAATCATGTGACTATATTATATATATATATATTTTAAAAGAATGAGAATCATAATTTACATACCCAAGCCATTTATTTGAAAAAGTAATCACCAGTCTACTAATATCTTTTCTACTTTTTCTATTTAACAGGGATTTAATTCTTTTTTTTTTAATTTTTGAGCACTCCTGAAATGAAACTTTATTTTTTTTTTAATTTTTTTTAAAGATTTTATTTAGTTATTTGACAGACAGAGATCACAAGTAGGCAGAGAGGCAGGCAGAGAGAGAGAGGAAGGGAAGCAGGCTCTCTGCTGAGCAGAGAGCCCGATGTGGGGCTCGATCCCAGGACCCTAAGACCATGACCTGAGCCGAAGGCAGAGGCTTAACCCACTGAGCCACCCAGGTGCCCCAAAACTTTATTTTTTTAAGATTTTATTTTATTTATTTGATAGAGAGAGAGAGAGAGAGAGAGATCACAAGTAGGCAGAGAGGCAGGAAGAGAGGGAGAAGCAGGCTCCCCACTGAGCAGAGAGCCTGATATAGGGCTCAATCCCAGAACCCTGAGATCATGATCTGAACCAAAGGCAGAGGCCTAACCCACTGAGCCACCCAGGTGCCCCTCAAAGATACTAATTTTTAAAGAAAATACTCAACTTAGAAAACATCCACATAAAATATTAGTTCCTCTGAGGAAAGATTATAGTGTTTTCAAAACAACATTAGAGAAATCCAACCATTTCCAAGGTAACGAAAATTGTTGTATAAATGAGAAGTATTTTAAAAATTGAAAGCCATCAGTTACAGGACATTAAGCTGATAATCAGAAAACACAATTCTCTTAGTCATAAGAAGCTATCAGTGAACACGCTCAAACATCAGGAATCTGAAAATATTTCCTGACCCCCTAAATTGAGAAACACCATTTCTCCACTATTGTATGAACATGCAAAATGTGACTTGGCTAAAAACTGCAACAGCAAAAACAACAAACACCTGGAGATACAGAATGTAAAATACTTCAACAAGCTGAAATAACTGTAAATACAATAATTATTAATGTATGAAAATGTAGCTATTTATGTGAATGAACCAGTTAGGAACTAATAACGCATTAGTTAATATTATCATTTATCTACTCTTAAAGTGAGATGCCTAACTGAACCCAAAATGATTTCTCAAGTGAGAGTTTTCCTCCGTGCCCCTATCAGCCCCTTCACCCACGAAGTTGGGGATAATGGGCTTGAGGAACTTGAACTCATTGGTCCCTGAGCCTCCCCTCAGGCACACCTCATACTGGTAGCTGTGGGACAGGGTCCCCGCGCCGCTGACGTCCACCAGGTGGCCCGGAAACGGGCCCTCGGGCA